TTTTATCCAGCCTGGATTTATGCCACCGTGATCGAATCCCTCTGCACGCATCGTGCAGATTGCCCTTCTCGCTCACTCTCACTCACTCACTCGCGCCGAGCTGAATATCGGTTCATTAAGCCCAGCCCAAAACACCAATATTTTCCTACCTCTCTGTGACTATGTATAGTGTATGCAGCGTGTTGGTTAAGTGAAAAAAGAAAGAACTCGTCAGACGTCCCTCTTCTCACCTCACCCCCGCACACAGCAATTTCTATGGAACGTTCCAAGTTCTATGTAGAAGCAGCATTAAGGCGAACGGTTGAAGGTTATGTTTTTAAAAATTCGCAATCTATCATCTCGGGTGGCCTGGTAACACTATTGTGCATAGCCAAAGGTCTGCGAGTTTTCAATGCACACAGAAAGGAGGTGATTTCCTCGTTGAAAGATTTATCTTAGCATTATCATATTTCGTGATCTATATAATAAGATACTTTCTGTTGGAGATTCTTTAAAAATTGCAAATTCTGCGCATCACGTGTTCATCTCTGTAATTGCTATTCTATGGTGAACGTCTTGAAGTATACTTCAGTGCGATACGAGACATCGACAATTGATGTTTCTTTTCGCGTAACAATTTATAGCGATGATACACACACACACAGCTGTGTTGATTGCGAATTAAATTGAATTCGCGTGGTGAGTAATGTGCAGACGAAATTAGACGGTAAATATCTGTTAGCACGTATCGTACACCGTCCACTGATTAAATTAAAGAATTACGAAACGTACGGTGGTTGGAGGGAAATATTAAGAAGCTCAATGTACTCCTCTCGTTGCTCGGTAATTGAACGAGAACCTCAATTATAGGTTTATCGAGGAACGGGTGTGCGTCTCTCGGTAAACTGGAGCACGAGGAAGAGTAATTGAGCTTTTTTTCTTTCTTTAAGACAAGAGTAATTGTTCCTTCCGCAATGAATGATTACTTGGACGCTTGTCGATGTTACCCGCAATGGTAGCTACTATTGTTGCAATTGCTTATACGGAGCGAACGGTGAGGTAACTGTTAGTTATCCGTGATGCATGCGGAATTATCATGCAAGCATGGATTCGATCCTGCGCGACTTTAAACTTTCCTAGCACGCTCTCCTCGTCACCCACGCTAACGCGCACACTCTAACACCGCAGGCGTTAAATCTAAATTTAATTAACGCGATTGAATCCTTGAATAGCCGTTGCACGCGCGTTCGTGGTATTAAATAGCACGGAAACACGATGGACGAACTTAAGTGAAATTTAAAAGACATACGGCGATAATACGATGATCGATCGAAACGAACGATCTATTTCTACGTTGATTCGAACGATCGAAAGTTTCTATGTTTGATGTTCTATGTTTGACAAGGTTAGTTTTCAATGAAAATCAAAGGAAAAACTCACCCTGCACGGCGAGAAGTAACACCAATAGACCAACAAATCGCAGCGGCAGCATTGTTGCCTGGTCTTTGTTTCAGAAGCACTGTCAACAAATGACACAATCGGCACTACAGTCGTCGTTCGGTCTGTAACTAGCTCCGGCTCGGACAACGTGCTCGTACGGATGGGACGGTATTTCACGAGTTGAAAAACGAATGATCGTTCAACTTAGGAATTAAGAACCGAACGTATCCACCGATACGAGGTGGATACTGAATACAAACTGAGAGAACGAACGCGCGTGGTATCCGAAGAGCGGCGACGGAATCGGGCCCCCGGCTTTTTACGGGGACCTGCGCCGACCGGTTGCGCATTAGACACCGAACGAACTCGCACGCGCCCGAACGCATGTACAAACGCACTCATACACCCACGATGCTTGATTGTGTGCAGCCACCGTTGGGTACGTAGAAGCGCGCGCCTATACGAAAGTGAGTCTGTATTCAGTGGTGCAATGTCGCAGAGCGTTGTACGAATTCGTATGCGCTTCTTTAATAAAATTGTTATCATTACCTTGGTTCTTAAATGCTCGAATTCTTGACATGAATTTCAAAGTACGTTTGTAACGTGTTATTTGACGATGTCTATAATTTCACGTATACTATTAATTGCAAATTAATTGTAATTAAATGAAAAATTTGAATTTGAAGTTAGAAACGTTAGATACGTTTACCTCGTTTTCAACGTAACTATCGTGGCGAAGATGTAATTTTGTAAGAGATAGTTTACGTGTTGAGAATTCCAAGGGATGAGAGCAGGAAGCAAGAAGATATTTTATAGGAAATTGCGACTAAACATAAATCAATGCCTACGGCCAGATAAAAGCAAGGATACGTATCGAATATCGAATTTATATGTGTACAGGGTTCTGAACGCATAAAGTATAGTCTCACATGCGCGTACATGCGCGCGTGAGAAGCATGTATTGGCACGTTACTTTCATCGAGCGCTTACCTCTTACGATTCATCCATTCACTTTGTCATTGTGCATAAGACGAACGGCAAAGAGCATTCACTTCTCCGCATTCCTTTTTTCTCCATGCAAATTAAAAATGGCACCATAAGCTGCGTATGTATAGTTTCGATTCGACGAAGTCGATCTACGTGTATAGAAATCATCTGGGGAAAATTTTCGTCGCACTAAGTTTAACGATTGACATGTGCAAATGTGACGAATTTAGTAGGAAAAAAAATTCGTATTACGGATATGAGAATAGAACATAAAAATAGTATGTAATGATATTGTATGACTTATCAGCCTAGTGATTCATACTTGTACAAAAAATTACGATGATGTCATTCGAAAGGTATAATACCTACATAGACATTTTAAATATGACCAATGTCAATTTTTTTCAGGAAATTATTCTTTCCTTTATTCCTTCAATTAAAGATTACTAAATATTTTTAATAGTTAATTAAGTAATATTAAAAACAAACGTGCAAAAATATGTAAAAATGCATTTATTTTTATTTTTATTTTTATATTTATTTATATGCTTTGCATGTGTTTCACGTAAAAGTTCGAGAAAAGTTTCAGCTACAGCATATATTTGAATTTCAAATTGTTGATAACGCGGATAAAAAAATATTTGAATTTTATATCTATCAGCTGAGTAGAAGCCTAACACGTTTCGTTTCCCTTTCCGTGATAATAAACAAAGCTTTATTTCATACGTACTGTTATCTCTTTGGGTATCCCATAGAAGTACAATTATCAGCTTGTACCATAGTTTCTACTGTGCAACAGTCGTATTATTTGAAGGAAGCTTTTGTTAATAATTTTCTGTGATTGTATAATTTATTTCAAAAGTATATTTAATATAAAACTTACACGGTAACACATTACAAATATTACTTTTCTCAAGGCCCTACTATGGCCATCTTGCGGTAATGTTACGAAGCTGTTTCAATGTAGATTTATATAATTACTTATAATACGAGTTGCTAAGTGTATTAAATAGAGAAACATAACAGCTTATAATACGGAAATATTTCTGTCGTAGTTGCCAATACGTTAATGCAAACAGAAAAATACAAATAAAATGAAATACAAGTGTTTTCCTGTGTAACCGGAATAGCGAATTCTTATTGGCGAAGGATCGCATTTGATTGGTTGCTTTTAAAACGATTCGAAATCCCGGTCAGAAATCCGGATGCCTTGGTGAACGCAAAGGGACAAAGGACGCTGTCGTACGCAAGCAGATAGACGCCATGTTCATTTGTCAACGGACGTCAAGGTGTGATCATCGGAGGGAGCGAAGTTTCTTGGAAGAAGTATAAAGATTTTAAGTGCTTTCATCGAATTATCGTACGAGTTACGGTGTATTTAAAACGATTTAACGATATGGCGTCCTCGGAATTACAAAAGCGTAAACTGGAAGAATACGAAATGCAGCTGTTTAACTTTCATTCAAGAGCCGTGTATGCTACTTGTAAGGCGCCGCCGTTTTCAGTTTCAGTTGAATGCTTTTCAGATTTTACGGCATTCACGTTGTGTTCAACAGTATATTCTGATCGTTGGACGAGTGTACTCTGGTATCATGTGGATTTAATCATGACTAGAGTCACACTCGTCCATTGCTTGGAATACTTTCACCGGCCCCTACGGACAAAGTTAATCACAAAGACTAACGCTTCACTTTTTTTTTTCTCATCTTTTCTCTTCTGTTCTCTTCTCTTCCCTTGTCTTCTCTTCTCTCATGCTACAAATTGAAAGAGCAAACAAATAAAAATTGACCTTGAACCAATATATGTATCAGATTCCGATTACGTTTTTCTTTTGTTCTCTTGTGTATTTGTTTTATTTAAATGCTTGAATAAACTGTAGAAAAACATGAATAAGCATAAAAACTTTAATATGAATAATTGTATTTGAAAGTATATTTTAATTAATTTCCATTATACGAATGATTTGTTTATCAATTTTTTGTACTTATGGTGGTATTTTTATTAGTAGTGGAGTAAGAATAAAGTATAACTAAATGTGTAGTAGCAAAGGTTGTATAAGTATTTCCCTTTTTTTTCTTTTATAGTGGAAAACATTATAAGTGAAAGGATTTACTGCACAATTCAGAAGATGTGTGAAACAATTCAAAAGTCATACCAACTAAATTCTGAGAGTGTAGCAGTACTCAAGTCAAATCAAAAGCATTTAGAAAAAGCATATTGTAAAGGAGCCATGCCACATTTAGAAAATATCAAGGTAATTACTTGACATAAAAAAAAAAACGAATAAATTTGTTTCTTTTATATGTGTAAAAAGTGTAATTATTTTATTTAGAATGTTGTAAATAAATATGTTACTGTTCCAAGTAATGTTTTGCTAGAAGAGGACAAACATCAAAGAACACAATATAGTGATACAGAATTTCAGAATATAAAACAAAATTTAGAAGATTTGCAAGGAAGAGCGAAAAGAGTATGTATCCAAATATTCTCTAATTATAATGTGAATGTTAAACTAGCAAATAATAAGCAAAACTTAAATTTATAGGCTACTGTTTTAAATGCAATATTAAAGGAAGAATTGCAAATTTTAGAGCAGTTCCCAATTGTTGAAGATAATGTAAATGAAATGTGCAATATAGTTAAAAATGATCTAAAATATCCTGATATAAATGACAAATTACATCAATTAGTGGAGAATTATAAAGAATCTGCCAGCAGTCTGTTTGGTACAACATCAATAACAGACAAAACAAAATACAATACAGCAGATAATCTTATGTGCAAAGACTTTGATTTAAATGATTTAGAAATTGAAGAAAAGGAACCAAGCATTTTATCTAATTAAACATACTATGTTCAAAATATCTCTTTGTGCAACCTTGTGTAAATATAAGCGGTGTAAAAATTACTTCAGTCATAAAATTAAGAATTCACAGCACTTGAGTAAACATCTAACAAAAAATACATATACAGCTTTTCTACCGAAACAAGTTATTTACCTCATAAATTGTTTAATTTTATATATTTACTACCATACGTGATAACTTAAAATTTGACATGCAAATTATGAAAAACCCAGTAGCAGTTAAAACAATTACAACCAAAACGTAAGAAATTAATGCAACTAGATTAAAAATAAAGAAATTTATTACAAATTAATAAAAGATAACATCAATTACACAAATCAAAACAAGATATTATACAATCTTTCTTAATAATATTATATATGCAAAATCATTAAAATTCAATCAATAAAAGCGCATAAAATAATTGGAAATTCGCAAAAATTTAATAATTATAGATATGTGGTTAATCTGCCGTTGACTCGTTTCACTTCCATCGTAAGGTCACTTACACGGCTCCCTTCTCCTCAGGCACACATGGAGGGGATGTGCTACGCCGAGCGGCAACCCACAGTTAGGCCTTTTTCACACAAGCAACAGAAGCTCATATACGAGCGTCAAGGCAGGAATGTTTTTTGTGTCCACTGCAAGTTCTTACGTGCCCGTGTAAACTGGCATTCCCGGTTTCACCGTAGCTTCTTCCTTCTGCTTGCCTTCTCATTCGTATATTCAGCTCCTATGTATTTGTGTGGAAGAAACCTTAACGCACACTGGCAAGCTCTTCTCCATGAAACGTCCTGGTAGTGGGGAGCGATAGAGTAGGGATATTCGCTTCGGCGCTTTATAAAGATTGCAAGCGTTATTATTTGGCCTGCTCTGCTAAGTACAGTAGATTTGGATGTATTATAAACTTTCATTCTTATCATCAATTATTGCTATTATATCAACATGAAAATACTGGTGAAATTTGCTTACTTTCAATTACTTATTTCAAATCATATTTGTTAAAATGGGATACGTTTCTAGCAAGAATCATGTAAATACAATGAACAACATGCATTCATTTAAAATTTCAAAATTATGTTGGTAATATTGGAAGTGATACCTCGAAACTTGTAAATAAAGATTAATAAATTTGTAATGTAACTTGTATTCTCCGATTACTTATATATATATGTATACATATATGTAATACTATATTATGATATGGTGAAATAAAAAGTATGCACTATATTGTTATTGACAGTTATCATAAAATTGGTATTGTAAATTTAAAGTATTTTTCTTTACAAATTATCTGAGCTTTATTTTTAAATAAACGTTATGCTGTTTCTTTAATTATTTAAATGTCATTTAACATTTATTAAGGTGTAAGTGGCTTCATGAAAGAGCATATCAATTTTTATCTGATCGGTGCTATTACAAATACTGTACTGTAATATTAATACACACTAACATACATAATAAATAGCAATTGATGCCATAATGCATATTATAAATATCTTTATTGAATATTAATACAATATCGAACTGAAAAAAAGACTAATAACTTAAGTGTTCAGTGGAGTTCCTCAATAATAACTTTACTTTTACTTTCAGACATGTGCTTTTGAATTCATTTTTATAAGAATAATTTTTTTTTTAAATATTTTCATAATCACTTATCACTTGGATGGTGGAGAGTATTATAAACAGCTGAAAATCTCTAGTACTTTTTGTTAGTGAAAAATCGATTGAAAGATGAGCCAATAGTATAAAGGTATGCCTGCTTTTCATGTAGCGTGGTGCGTGCTCCTTTATAAACGGTATATGGTTAGAGTAGGGATGAAAATATACAGAAATTTTGTGTCCGGCATTCCATATTAATGAATGCATCGTCATATATTTGATACTTTTAAACTTCGGAGTAATTATAAAATCTTAAATTAAACATAACATTATCAAACGAAACAATAAATCGTTTTTAAAAAATATATTGATATTTACTCAGCTACATTAGGTTTGTATAATTTTAGTTTTCTCGTTAAGTACTGATTTTCATTAAATTTTAATTGATGATTTGAAAAATATTCACTATCGTTATTACAATAACTACTTTTGAATGTATTATTCACATAAAATAATCACTTTTATCAAAGTAAAAGTTTATGAAGCATAAATGGTATTTGTTAATAAATGTAATATATACAAATAGATAATCAGGATGTCAGAACAATTTGTGGGCTGCACAGTTTCTGTAAAGTGTATTGAAGAAGTTGGAACTTATCAAGGACAAATAGCAGACTTGAATAAAGATTATGTTACACTTTCTAAAGCTTTTTGTAATGGGGTACCTCATACCTCACCTGTAGTTGTTATAAGGTATTGTTCAATGATGATTCATAAAGTTCAACTATAAATAAAAGTGTTAAATAAATTACACATATTTGAAAAAGTTGTAAAATTTTTAGTGCAAAGGATATATTGAATGTGGAATTTATATCAATTAATGAAACAGGAACCAATGCGAATGATAATAATCAAACACAAAATAAAGTAACTGTAAAAAGACCTATTGCTAAAAGAGCTGGCAGATCTTTTTCAGAAAGTGTCCCATCTTCTGTTCAATCAACATCATCTCAGACACAACCTAATTTAAAAAAAACAGAGAGTAATTCTCAGTCCAATGTGGAACAATCTGCAAATGGAAAAGCTTCATTAGGTATAGTAATAAAAACATTTTTTTCTTATCCCATGCAAATATTAATGATAATCAATTTTTTTTTAGCTGAAACTGTTAATAAACCAATTCAAAAAAGATTGAGTCATAGACAAAGAGCTTTAGAACGTGATGAACACACATTTGGTACACTGATTGATCAATCTTTGAATCCAGATTTTGATTTTGAAAAGAATTTGGCATTATTTGATAAAGAGGTTTGTTCAATTATCAAATATAAAGAAACTTTGATGAAAAAAATAGTTTCATTGGAATAATATTTAAAGTTATATACATATTTTGCAGGCTGTATTGCAAGAAATAAGGTCTTTAAAGCCTGATATTGTTAGGCAATCAGAAAATAGCAGGGGTACTAGTGGAAGATACAGGCATGATGAAAATGTTATTGTTTCTGAACCCACAGTTTTTAAACAGATAATGGTACCCAGTGCTGGTGAAAAAGAATATGTAACAGACAATGGTTTAATAATTCCTAGTATAACACTTAATCTTCATCGTCAATTAATAGGAGCAGCAGATAGACTTGGAATTAGTTGGGAGCGTAGAGTATGTAACATTAAGAAATTAGATAAAAGATTTATAATACTTCCAGCAAATAAAATTGATTTTAACAATTAGGTAGAACTCCTTGGTCGTGCTGGTGCAGAAATTACATTGCAACTATTGGGTGGAAGTCACAGACTTAATCCAAATAATGCACATCAGTGGCCAACAGTTGTTGCACTTTGTGGACCTCATCGTTCTGGTGCTGCAGGTGTTAACTGTGCTAGACAATTATCCAGTCATGGTGTTAAGACAATAGTATTTGTGGAAAATTCTGAAGATGTTTTTCTTTTACAAGAATTATCTTTATATAAACTAACAGCAAACAAGGTAGAAACTAAAGTTAAAAATTTGCCAACTGTAGTAGATTTAATACTTGTAGCACTCTGTGATGAAAATTCTCCCAGAATGATCACACCTATAGCAAGGTGGGCAAATAGCAACAGAGCGCCTGTTTTAGCTATTGAACCACCAGCTACAGGAACACCTGGTATTCTTAGTAAATTTAGCTTGCTTGGTGGATTACCATTATCTCATAGTGTTGACAACGGCAGATTATATTTATGTAATCTTGCACTGCCAAACAAAGTATATACAGATGTTGGTATAACATACAGGTCTCCTTTTGGACCGAAATTTGTCATTCCTTTGCATTCCAATAATTCTTAGCAAATTTATAAAAAGGATGATGCTTCCAATAAAATGTTTTAATTTAACATAATTTCACTTTTATGCCGATAAAAATTTACATTTACATCGTGAAAATAATATCTGAATTTATTAAATAATGCAAATCATGCATAATATAGCATTTAATGTTATACAGTTCAAATGTAGCCTGTGTATAAATCGTTGTAATTTGATATGCAAAGGCACATCATTGTTAAATAATTGTTCTTTTAAATATATAAGTATACAATGTATACAAGGAACTAATATAATAAGAATAAATATATAGTGTTTGGTTTTGTAAGTTACATAAAAAATTAAATGCTTTTAAATAAATATAATAAATTCAGATTACACGTATTTGATACATTTTAACACGCGTGCTGTTTCGTATTACGATATGCACTTAATATTTTTTTTTTACAAATATAATCGTATACAAAATATTTTCACGTGAACAATGTGCATCCCACTTTCCTTTGTAACTGTGGGCAATATTGATGATATCTAAGGAATACTAATGAAACAAACAAAATAAATTCATTCTTTAAGTAAATTCGGCATGAAAAGGTTATCTACTAGAAATAAAATTTATGTTCCCTTAATTCTTGAATACTATACTCCTACGAAATAATTTTAGAATAGACAACACTGCTGTAAAAAAAAGAGATCTATTATATTTTTCATAACTTGTGATATATTGACATAACAAATTTGTAACATACTTATTTATAAATTGTCTGCCTTCTAAATTTTAAATAGTGCTTATATTAGCAGTTACTGTACAATTCAATACTATGAGACAAAAGATACACAAAAATGTGTTACATTATTCAGGGCATAAAATAAATTATAGTTATAGCTTTATATTTGCTTTTTTAAATAGTATATAATGAGAAACTTTCAACTCTTTTAGCCTTTATTTATCTTGATAAATTACGAGTTGAAAAATGTTTTTACTGCCACGAAAAATGTTCTTGTTTTATTGTATCTTATGCCCATTTTTACTGAATAATGTACAAAATATTATAATGTAATTGAAATAATTAATTGTAACACGTTTGTATAGGATTTATTTTAATTATAGATAGCCTAAGTAAGTTATTTATATTTTACATGTAAATATATATTTATATATTTTGGATATTAGCCTTGACACTTAATGATGATAAGCTTTATAGATAACACTAATGTAATTTTTTCAGGAATGACTTAGATAACAAATTTGAAGTAGATTTAAAAATATAATGTAAAAAGCAAGACAGCTGTGTATTAATTACACGTTGATCAACTCTAAATAGGATAAGCGTAGCAAAAAAATAATCAATATATTGTCTAATAAGTACTTAAATTACTATATTTATATTGTAGGTGAAGAACAACTGACAAAACAGTTAAAGTTTTAATATTACTAATGTTATGTATTTCTTTTATTCTTTTGTAATTATAATTTATCGAATTTTTACATTAATTCCATTAATGAAATAATACGTTTAATAGAATAATAATTACAATTAAAATACAGAGTTATAATTAAATAATTAACTGACTCTGTATTAATTAAAGACACTTTGTATATTTATTGTCAAGTTTTATAAATGCAGAGCAAACCAACAGACTTAAATTCATTACAAAAATATTTCAATACTGTAGTCCAGCTCGAATTTAAATTAAACATGTATTTATTTTTATGTATTTTCTAATATTTCTACTCTATAAAATTGTACTATCTCAGTATTATCAAGTACAACAATGCAACAATTTCTTGATGTAACATGAGAAACCATATGTATCATTTTAATCTAGAAAAGTGGCTTAGAACTGTTCTTTTAAGTAAAATTTGCATGAATTTTCGTATATTATTAATTACTATTGATTTACTATTATCTTCAGTAAAATGTAGGAGCTGAACTATCACATGTTTATCTCAAAAAATGTTTTGTTTCCACAGTTCTAAAATGTATAGTAAAACAATAGATACACATCTAAAGAGGAGTGATTAGTTAATTTTAAGATGTTTTAGAGTTGAATACTTCTTAATATTTCCAAAAAAATTTAATCATAATATAGAATTGTGGAAACAATTAAGGCCTAATTACTTTTATTTCCTCATTATTTATCAATCACAAGGTCTACTTTCAATCATTAAACATTTTGAATACTTATTATGGAGAACTATTAGTAATATGAATAATCATGACTTCATTTATAGGAATCTTATTAAAAATAAGTCATACATATAATATTTACATTCATAACATATCAGCCATTTCAGAAGAAACAGTGACACATTAATGAGATTTGATCGCCTCTTGACATAAGTGTTGTCAATTAACTGCTCCTAATTAAAATACTTAATCGCGCTAGTTGAACTTACACTAAACTAAAAATTGACCTCATGTTGATTAAGGCATTTTTTTTTTAATCTAAATTCATTGTAATTTTTACTTTATAATGTATCTAAAAAAATATAATTACTACATTTATTTTGTAATGTTTATATCTTTGTTTCTAAGTTCCATTTCATTATAAATTTTATTTAAAAATTAAAGAGTTACAGTATTTTAGTGCCTAAGAAATAATTAGAGCAACACATATCAGCACCTTGCAACAGTTATAAGGATTCTTACATGTATTCAGCCTCAGTCAAAATATCACTTAGAAGTACATTATATATTTTTGCACTATCTTTTAGTTGAACGTTATTTTTATAGTTTGCATGATTTGTAACTGTACAAGGATACAAATTCAAGAACGCATTAATAATAATATGTAATGATGCAAAGTATTTAATTCTTAATGCGTCAATCACGATAAATAAAAGCAATATAATAATTTAAAAATAGGAAGGTAGTGCAATGCAGAGAATAGGTATGTGCAAAAATCTATTTGCTGCTTCGTTGTATATCAGCTATGTTTGGCAAAGATACAAATGTCATTCCAGCATGAGTAACCAGACAAAGGAAGAGGATTATTCGGAACATAGAAGCTGTACATGCAGCATAACAACTAAAAGTTTATATGCACTGCTGAAACAATCAGGGGTCCCAAGTCACGCACGGACCAGGGAAATTGCCCTGTCGGACGGAATTTATAAGATACAAAAGGTCATCATGTTCAAAGTGACCATGGAACTTGAAGAGAAGTATATTCAACAGGTTTCATTTCATCCTCTTTTGTCTCAAGATAATAGGACCTTTTAAAGAATTGACTTCTTAGATAATAATTAGTGGCCGTCAGTTAATGGTATATCACGAATATCGTGTAAAAATACCCGAAGAGGAAAGTGTTCTGGATTTGTAGAGCACAGACTTTGCATGATATATGCTCTGCATTGCACAAATCAGACATAGCCGCTGCCGGATATTACACGATTTGGACAGATCAGAATTACTTCGTCATTTTTACTTTCATTCTATGTAACTATAGTGGAAGTATCATGCTACAATATATAAAATACCGTAATACATATTAAAATTTTTAATCCTTATAAACTATGGTTTAAGTAAATAAGTGTTAAGGAAATTATTAGCTGCTAAGTGACATGTATTCATTCGTTTCGATTAATGGACTGTCATTATGAATGAAGTCTAATGTTTTGTTTGAAATTGAAAAATATTTTTAATATTCTAATTTTGCGCTTTTAGGGTTCCGATTTCAGTCCACTAGTAGTCATTCAAAGTGTAACAAGCAAATAATATTGGTCACAGATTTGTTCCTTTTAACGCTTATGAAAGATATGAATACATCTTTAATATTCCAAGCATGCTTCAACGTGCACCCCAGTGATACAACAGAGTACAACATAAATATTCTTATTTCTTTTCAATATGAATTTCCTATATTTGTGATTACTAATGACAAAACGTTTTACTATCAACGTTTCATCAATAAATATAAGCTGCAATACACACCATTATTTAGTGATGCCATATCAATTGATTTCTAATTTCGTTATTTATCTCTGAATTATTAGGTCTCCTAGAGTGCTATCACTTTTTCTGCTATGGAAAGTGAAACATGCACCATACGTGTCATAGCAATAATAGTGCCCTTGAAATTTAAGTTTAGCCCTTATAACTGTTAGCATCTAAAAAAAAGTTTCTTAGAACTGTAATTAAGTGAAATGTAAGAGTACAAATTCGTGCATATTTATGAATTCCTATTACTCTATTATATGGAACTTGAATACAATTTTATTAGTGTATATTTTGGTGTATATATAACTTTTCTTCAAGGCTATTCTGTTTTGTAACCATTGATATTTTACATCGCGCAGTTGTCAGAAAACAATTCTCATGGTAATAACACTATACCTTATACATCTTCGTAAAAAAATACGCCAGTGTGGACTGGCTCTTGTCGCGTCTCCCTAGGATGCAGGCGTAGGATTGGCAGTCGGCGTTACGGCATTCGTTTGCTTCGCTCGTCTTCGTTTGTTTAACAGGGCATTATTTGTGTGGTCCAATTGTTTCAAATTAGCTGCGTCATAGTCTACGCGCATCGTAGCTAAGGATCGTGTCATTTCTTCTTGAACTTCCGGCCAAAGCTCTTCACCTTCTCTAAGTACACGTCCAGTATGTAGAGGCGTAGGGGGTACTTCAGTATATTGCTACATGTAAAACAAGTAATGATATATTTTCTTGTTTATAACTGCACAATGTATGGGATTACTACGTTGAAACCAGATCCTTACAGCGATCCATTTATTGCGCATAACTTCGTCAATCTGCAGTCTTTGAGCTGGATCTGTGCACAGCATACCCTTGATCAGATTTTTCGCCTCTGTGCTCACATTAGACCACTCAGGGGCTGGAAAATCATATTGACCTAGTCGAATTCTTTTTTTCATTCCGGGTGAAATTGCTAACCCATGATTACTATAGAATGGTGGAAAACCACACAATCTGAAATATTAAGAATAAAATATCCATACATTATGTAAAAGTACACTCAAATTTAACATAATTATTATTCATAAGTAATATCTGCTTACAATATGTACATTATAACTCCAAGTGACCAAATATCACAGCTTTTATCATATTTTTCTGGTCCCAAAACTTCAGGAGCTTTATAAAAAGAAAATAAATACTCGATCGTATATACATATTTATAAAACTTAATGTATTAAGAATAAAAGTGAAATTTTATGGAATACTTACCAACATAATATGGCGTGTAACATGGCGTTTGTAACGTATCTTTCGAATGTGTTTCCTTCGCAAAACCGAAATCGGTAAGTTTCAGTATTCCAGTACTATCTAAAATGAGCATACAAAGTGTATTATTAAATTTATAACAATCAATTTCAATTCTTTCCTCGTGATCAATTCCATTTTTAATATATTTATTCACATACCAGGTTTGGAATATAAAAGATTCTCTGGCTTGAGATCCCTGTGTGCAATATTCATATCATGCAAGTGCTTTACAGCAACACAAATTTCATACATTATTTGCGCAGCTTCTGTAAAGAAATTACACATGTTAGTTGCAAGAATCTGATCACTTTTAGACGTAAATGTAATATTAAATATCAATGTATATTACCTCTTTCTGTGAAAGCACCATCTTGCCTATCCTGTATTCTCTCAAACAGTTCTCCTCCTTCCATGCTAAAAATTTGTTAAACGTATATTTAATTACTTTTTCTTAGTATCGTTAATTAATATATCGTCAGTATAATAAAATCTTTTGCTCAAATCTGAACACCTACCATTCCATGACAACCAATAAGCACTTATTTCCACTATATGTGTTTTCATATACATCTTTGACTTGAACTATATGCCTACAATTCGACGCTCTCCAATGTAATTCAACTTCTCTCCGCGCCTTGACGCAATCGTACAACACCTGCAAGTACAAAATTTAATAACAATTCGTATAAAACACTAACGATTTTATATTTAGCATTTACGCGGTAAACATTTCAACGTTACAAAATCAACATTAAACCTTCTTGAATAAATAAGTTGACATAAACGGTTAAGATCAAAATGGATAAGCACAAAAGAAGCGATAACTGTATGTACGACTTACAGTATGGTAAAACATTGCACAACATTTCACGCGAAGCAAGAATACACGATGAGACGTATAATTTTTAAACAATTCTTCAGGAAGCTTATGACTATGTAGGAAACTCGTACATTCGCTTTAAGGAATGCTGGTGAATGACCCAAAAACAGCTGACGTCGTCGTTAAATCGATAAAACTTATTGCATTATACAGTCCTTCACGACCTACCATTCTCGACATAAGGTAACACTACGCGATCGATAAATGCGGCGTAGTGTGCAACATCAAATACTTTTTCATTCGTCAGAATAACTTTCAATCCGTCTAATGTGATTTACAAAATGCAATTAAGCAACGTGTAATTGAAATTTCGAGGATATATCTTTATCCTTCTGTTACATATGATGTATTTTCAGTAGATGAGTAACGTTAAATAATAAAAGACATTGTACTAACAATTTATGTTATCAAATATATACATTTATCGCATTCAGCTGATAGAATTACTTGGCAGACCGAGCAAAAGTATTATCTAACGTTCCAAACCAACTATTGGCACAGTTCAAATGTCTGTTATTTAAGTAACATCAATCGGAAGCACGGTTAAAATTCACATTTCAACATGATCTGTGATTATTCTGTTTTATATTTTTTTTCTTACATAATTGTAAGTATTACATTCATTTCATAGTTAGTAAGTATAAGTCAATTATAAATTAGGATGTTGTAACACGAGTTTGTAGTTCTGTTCGCTTTGGTATGTGTAAAAACGTAAACTCTCAAAAATGTGGTATAGTTATGAAATAAAAGAATGGTGGAAAAAGTGTCTCAGGGCTGAGTATCGTATTTTTAGAACACCGAGTACATCACGCGTTCTAAAAATGCTCAAATACAATTAAAACCTGAGAACCGAGGCTCGAAAGAGTCAGAACCGGTTTCAATTTGAAGTGACCGCAAGAAACAGTATTAGCAGTAATGATGAAGTAGATAATTCTTACATATAAATGGAATTCCTGCGAAAGAGCCGCCAGGTGCAAAAGAAAATTTATTTCCACACAAAAGTCTCCTTGCAGCAAGCCAAATTATGTTGAAAACATTAAAAACTCAATTTTTAAGTTTGTAATTCTTTAATCCAAATTCAAAATCAAATTTTCAAACTCAGATTCAAATTTTCAAATTCAGATTGAAATTTTCAAACTCAAAATCAAATTTTCAAATTCAAATTCAAATTCAAATAAATTGAAGAATACTTTCCAATCGTTCTAAATTACAGGGGACATTCTGTAATTATGCTTCTTCAAATACAAAAGTGGACGAAAATCGACCGATTTACGAGCAAGCGCAGATTTCCAACTATTCAGCAAACCATAATTGTTAACGAGCATCAATTCACGCGATTTCCCACGATTGTCTGTCGCACTTCCTCTTAAATGAAAATACATTGGTCTCGCGCTCCAGGCAATCGACGTTTCGTATTATTCCGTGATAATGAGATTAGCGTTTCGCAAAGTGACATATCCATTGCCACGATCAACGTATGTACATATACGTACATCGATACACAGTTGTACTCGTGGAATTGCCGTTGATAGGCCCCGGCGATCAGACTATGCTCATCAACCTACGCAAAGGTATTTTACACAAAAAAAAACATATCGCATAATACAACTGATCCATTTATCACGTAAACGTATATGAAAAATTAAAGTATCCACTTATCTCTCCTGTTTTCAATCTCGTTTATCTAAATACCACAAGACAGTAACAATGAAACGCTTTGGTATTTATTTAAAAATTTTTATACGAATAAATCACGTGGATATATTTCCGTCACAGATTTCCTATTATTAAGATTCTTCCGACGAATCGTAGAGATATATACAAAATGTTCTTTCACGCGGTAACGAAAAAATAAAAATTCAAGTATTCTCAGAATGGCACAGCCAAGGCAAACAGAGAAATGTAAAACAGTGGCGACAACGCAACGATCCGAACGGCTGAGCTTCGAGCAAGAGGTAATCAATCAACGAACGCAAAATTCGTAACAAGAAAACTGGGTTGCACACCCAGCCCGTGCCATGACGTCCGTAAATATTGACTTTTTTATAACTACACGATAGTGCGCGAGGAAATATGATTCCATAACTTTCTCCTCAAGTATGCCTCGGGGTATACACAGTTTTTCTGGAATTACCGGAATCTATAAACCCGTTCGTAATACTGCCTGCTATAAAACATTCTCAAGATCTTACAAAAATAATTAATTTAACAATCGATATTAAAGTCGTTGTAATTATAACTAATCCTATGGTAAGTCCATCGAAACAAATTTCAACAAAAGAAACTGCAGAAGAATGTAACGGTTGCATTGCGAGCATTGTGAGGTTAGAATAACATGGTCATTTCGAATGGTCATGCATACATATATCTGAATAATAGAATTATTACCCTCGGTGTCGGATTTGTTCATGGTCGTACCGTGTAATTTAAGCGATTTCGCTGACTTATGTGGCCTAATTCCAATAATTCAATTCTAATAAATCAATGCAATAAATTGTAATTAAAGTTTGTTCCGCTTGAAAATACGTTGTTAACTATAGATATCGGATCTGCCATTAATAATACAAGTTGACACATAAGTCTCTTTATCATTTAAAAATTGAATAAATTATTTTTCGAAGTTTTAAACAAAGATTTTAAAATGCAATACAAAGAAAAGTTATTCAATTTTTGAATGGTAATGCAACTTATGGACCCTCGATATATAAATAACAAAGGAGATTTCAAACAGTTCTATCGTTACATGCGAATCGATTATCTGTAGGAAACGGGTTTGTATCTATCAGTATCTATGACTGATAGATACGCACACTATGTTCGTGTAACACATTTTCGATGTACCACGTAAAAAAAGATGTTAAAAATTAAGGTTTTACGATACCTTATATTTTAGACAGTATTACTCGTGACAAGAAAGATATTAACCCTTCAACCCTGAATTAGTTTGATGAATCGATACATTCAATGGCACTAGCCAATTTAACGTAAGCAAGTATGAGATCATCAATACTATATAAATAATGACATATTTTCGTTGAAGCTTATCAAGTTATTCTTGTACATTCAGTCAGATGTGCTCCCACCCCAGAGGTGCGTGTTTACTTTCTTGTGTACGAAATAAAGGAATGTAAATTATTGTTAGACAACTGAATTAAACGGATTTAAGGTGAGTTTCACTGAATTGGCAAAGTATTCAACAACATAAATACAAAAAGAAAACAATAGTTAGAAATATACTAAAAAAGTGATTTATGAAATATTAAATTTTACTACTTTTTAAAAGTATGTTAGAATGTTATAACTTTATTTAAATATTATTTAAAGAAAAAAAAAACCTTAACAAGCAGCTCGTGAACTAGATGCACACGTGTTTGCGCGTGGGACATCGTATGATTCGCGTAATCGGTCGTTGACATCTGTGTCTGTACATCTGTATCTTTAACCAAGATTTCTTATAAAATTCGCATTAAATTCTTCATGGAACTCAAAATTAATCAAATATATTTCTCTTAACATGCGTACGCATTTGATAACTCTTCAAAAGTTTTCAAAGCATTGTGGAAAAAGCAATAAAATTATCACGATTTTCTATTCATTATGTCCTGTAATATTTTTGGGCCATTTATCCTCCATCTTTTTCATGACTAATATAGTAGATGTTAGACTGTAATTGTACTGCGTGGTTTACGTCTCTTCCGTTGCTCGAGGAATTTTTCGCGGGAACGACGTTTCAAGAACAACAAACCCTTTGGCGAGAAAGCGAAAAAATACAAGAATCCCCGAAATTTTTCCAAGGCGATACAGAGAAAATAAGAGGCGACCAGGCTTCGAGCGATACACTGCATGGTCGGAATCGTCGAATGGGAAATCACCGAGTATAAATAGAGGATGACTCGCGGTCTGGTCTCGCTTGGACATCGTTAGTCGATGATCATACCTCAGCACACCAACTAGGTATCAATAAATCTTCAATCGATGGATCCACCTAAATATGTACTAAGCATGCACATTTCGTATCGAACAAGATATCGGATTCATCCTTGTAGCATCGTTCCGTGTATGTTCCAAAAATAACCAAGGACAGACGTGTCGTCTTACACTTAAAAGTATAATACATATAATTTTTCACGTCGACTGATAACAGTCGAAACCTTCATAAAACGCGTCGTACATTTATCTCAGTCAGTATAACCTGCCCGAATGGCAATATAAAAAGTTATATATCTGACGTTTTCTATTCACACGTGTCGATTAATGGTCGCGGACGATGCTTTTATAATCACATGTTCAAGCATAATGTTTTATTATTCATGCGTGAAATTTCAATTAAGTCTCGTATGTTGTTTCGAATCGTATAATGAAGGAACAAAAGCCACTGAATAAGATCAGGCTTCATTGCACTGCGCAATGTTTTTATACGTGGGCTGTCATTTCCATGAAAAAAGAAAAACGAAAGAGTCGATTATTTTAAGCCGTTTTTTCAAGGCAATTCTTTTCGTGTTCATGATTCATCGGATTAATTTCGTTAAACGTTTCACTTTCTTGCATACGCTCGAACAGATGCACTATCTCACAGAAAAAGTAAACGGAAGTCGAAGAAAAAAAGAAAAGAAAAAAGAAGCTATCGATTCCACAGAAGAAATTGTTGATAATTATCTCACCTTGAGCGCATACTTTTCCCTCGAGGTTTTGTCATAACACTGAACAACTTTTCCGTTTATTCCAAGACCAAGCACGTGATTGCTGATCTCATAATCGTCGGTGATCGGTGTGGCTTTCGGTAAACGGGCGTCGCATCTTGTATGCGTATGTTCCATGGTTTTCCGTTTGGTTTCCACGGCCGAAACCTCCTTTGCTCTCGTCGGCACTTCGATCTCCGTTTCCGCTGCTCGTTTCCGTTTTCCCTTCTTATTCTCCTCGTTCTCCTCGCCAACGGGCCTCTTGCACTTTCTAAAATGGTAATCGATCGTCAGTCACGTTCTCGTCCCATGGGAAGAGAGAGAGAGAAAGAAAGGGAAAGATATTTGAAAATTTTGTTCTTAAGTTTACACATAAAAAAAACTGTGAATGTACGAACATTATAAATATACGGAGTAAATTGAAACACTTCATGAGAAAAGTGGGAAAGTACGACTTATTCGACTGGCGCGTTGATAAGGAAAACTTTAGAATGATAGTACATATGTATAACTGGGTGCTGACACTTCTGAGCGCGCCACGTGAGTGACAGCAGTATAGGTAAAAAAAAATCATTTGCCAACGAAAAGCTATTTTATCGCTCGCAAGGTACGGCGCCTATTTTATCTTTAAGAATTACCGACGGGACGTCGTTTATATTCATTTTAAAAGAAATCCTATTTGCCGCGATACACGAGACTCGAGGCTCGCACGAACATGTTACACGTTACACATTACAGATTTTATAAATTTCTCGTTATCGAGAAATAATTCTATCGCTGATTGATTACGATGTGCTTTTTAAAACGTACAGTTATACGCATGAATTATCGAGTTGACATTCTGATATAAAATATCAATCTGCCATTTTCAATGTGTCTATAAGTTATATAAATGCAATTAAAATCCCTACAATTATAAAAGAAATGGTATATATTATAAGAGATGAATCTTATTCGTATTGTAATAAGGAGTTCATTGCTGTAAATACCAAATCAGATTAATTTATTTTATTATTTAAGGAAAAGATTTAGGAAAATTGTATGCATAGCTAAAACGTACACATGTCAGATACAGGTACTGTATCCGCACACCTCTCTGTGTTACACAACCACATTTAATCGATTGCAGTAAAACTACAGTACATAGTTCAACGCACACGATTGGCGCATTTTAAAATTATCAATAGACCATCCCAATCGGGTGCGTCGAGTATGTGCATTTTTAACGGTGTCGATATGTGAAATAAAAAGGTAACAGGATTGATTGATTGCTAAATTGGAGAAGAAAAAGAGATTAAAAAAGAGATCGCAAAACGGTGTTAAAACTCAATCATTAAAATTCAGCGAAAATTATTACATTTCGTTATATCGAGGTGCAACTTGTAATCGACACGAGATTAAGTAACAATGTGCAACAGTTATGATTGCAACGAACAGAAGTGTACAACGAATGATGAAGTATATGTTTATTGTTACATAGTCGAACGGAGATCGCTACGATAAATCGTTAAGAAAGAGTCGGCGTTATCGCTTAAATGATTTCGGAACATAAATAATCGGGAAAATAAAATATAATATGATAGAGACCTCCAAAATGTCCACTTGGTTGCCGATTTCGGCATTTGTGTAGCTTTTTAACGTTTCGAAAGGTTTGTTAATCGAATCGTTGAACGAAGATAAAAAGCATCGCCTTCCGGGAAAGCCGAAACTCCTTAAGAATTCTCAGAGGTAACACAGCTGGTAGTGGTGGGTTATGGATAAACCGTGTGACATCCGCGTCGTTGAATAAAATAAGAATTTGTATAATCGCAACTCAAAACTCGATATCCAAAGAATAATTGCACAGAGGAAGGCCAGCTGAAAACCGAAGATAAAAAAAACTAATGAAACTTTCATTGTTCATAATGAAGAACGGTGACTGTCGATGAAAAGAAGCGTGCAAAATGAAAAAAAGCCATTATTAAAAAGCAATTTTGCGCATATATGTATATGCGCGCGGGGGGAAGGGGGGGCCCGCGATGCAGCGTATTTCTCAACACTTCTAATGAGATGAATTGCATTTCTGTTACGCAAGTTACACAGCAAAGATTCGTGAAATTGCCAGGATAAACACAATGAGAGGGAAACAACACAAAGTGACTTGTCGAGGATCTATTTGCATAAACTCATATGCACCGCCAAATTTGCCATCTGTATTTTAGAAAGATTCACTGAACGACTGGCAGATTTACTTAAAATAGCGGACACATATGACGTATGCAAACAAAATAGTACATTAAGATAAGATACATTGAGATTAAAAAAAAAAAAAAAAAAAAATCATCGGTGTGATTACGAAGGGTAATTATTCTGGTGGTTTAACATACCTAGTGACGTCTGCTTCTTCAAAAGCAACTTCCCGCCACGAAATAACGTATAATTTCAAGAAAGAACACCACTGCTACAACATTTTATTTCCACACTGTCATAAAAACACTCGATGATAATTTCTTAAGAATTATTCTTGTTACGATACGTCATAGCACTGATTCACAATTCGTATATTACGAGCGCGTTAAAAATAATATTCACAAATTCATTTAAAATGTAACTTTCTTTTCGTATAATCCTTAAAAAAAAAACAAAAGTTCCTCGGAGGTGTGTCACCCAAGTTCCAAACGGTCGAAGAGATTGGAATACCTGTCTACCTGTCGTAGAATAGAGCCGGTTTTACACAAGTATTAAAATATTCGGTGACGCCGTTGGTAACCGATTTTTCTCGCCACGAAAAACGCGATAATAGGAAACTCAACCAAACGCGATCTTTTCCATAACCATACTTCCCGTGCATTCGACCGACCACTACTGAACTCGAGTCCACTCAACGACTCCGACTTTCATACGAAAAACCAATTCACAAACACTAATGGATAAAGCGGCTATGGCGGCAAAGCACCTCTACAAGCAATCTTAGGATGTGACTCACTGCACAGGGACGGCTTTGTATTAAAACATTTCGGGTTCCGCTGTCTGAATCGCACCCCACTTACGACATCTGATTCTATTTATTTCTTAGAAATTTATTAATTCAAATACATAGGTCAGAGATAAATGAATTATAACCATTTTACAAGCTAATAATTATTTATTTATTTTTTCAATTAATTATTTTATGTTATGCTACAATTAAACATGTATGTATGTATATACATAATTTTTCGACATAATAAAACTGAAGGGGCAACAATCTTCAGGTCTCTTGCATTTTATCACTTACATAATTACAAAATTACATTTAATATAAATAGTTCTTTTTCATACAGGCACATTTTATATTTACACACAGTTTTCTTTCATTTCAAGTTATCATTTCTAATTGTATTGTCCATTTAGTATTTTATTATAAAAAGATTGTATCACACAAAATATATGAATGCCAAAAGATAATTTTCATTTATGATTTGCTATTGGAACATTATACATAAGAACATGTGATGCAATAAAGAAGTTCTTTCATAATATACAAATAACAATTCCAGGTATTAAGGTCAATATCACTTATAATGTTGCAGAATTAAATTATTAACAGTATTATTGTTATTGGTTCAATGCATCACAGTGCCATTTTATGAAAAATTTTTCAATATTCTTAATTAAAATACATATTATATGCTATTGGTAATTCCTAAAAATTATATCAGATTTAGTCAACAAGTATAATTTACATGAATATCTGTAAAAAAAACGTATTGTGGTTTAATCTTTGGATTATCGAATTAGAAAGAATACTTATGTTTAACTAAATATTAAGCATTGCTAGAAATATTGTACACGCTTATTAATTACGAAAATGTTTATAAAAATCTCAACCAGCAAAAATGTTTTCATGAACATCAACAATTGCGACCAGTTTAAAAATATTTAACGATTTGATATAACTTGAGAAAGATATTGATGCTCTAAATGTTATTTATAACATTAAATACACAAGATTATCATTTTTATCCTAAAAAATACTAACGCTATTTTACTGTTTCATAATAATCAAGTACATACAAACAATATATCTACTTATATCTACATTCAATATTATTTCAATACAATTATAATTAACAATAAGATATAAAATGTACATTTATATTTTCATTAAGTAAACGCATACACTTTCCACCTTTTCTAGCTTGATAAGTATTTTTGCTTTTCATAAAAAATATACTTTTATTGTCCCTTTTGAAGTAAATAATACTTGATGCATAATAAATTCAATTCACATTCGTAAGAGGATTCACTTTATCTGTTGTTGAAGATAAATTAGGACTATTGATTGTTTCCTCTTTTGACTTTTGCACGAATTAGTACTATTGCACATTTTATATTTCCATAAGAAATGTTAAATATAATGCATCGTTTCTTTCACTTAATCTATAATAACACGCCTAGAAACACATATGTTATAATTAATTTCTAGCAAAAATAAACAAAACGTGTGCATATTCCAACTCATTTGTAATAAAATTACGGTACGATTAAAGACCATTATCAATTACAACGAAATATGCGGCCCGTTTGTACTAATACTTATACATATAGAGTTACCTCTTTAGCTCTAATTAAATAATTTATGCTTTGTTTAAAAACATATCTTAGTTTAGATTTTCATAAATCTAAGAAATTAGAAATTTTTTTGACGGACGGAAAAATGCAGCGATCCTAAAGAAATAATATTATCAACGTTTTGATTTCCTTTAAAAATTTCAATGGATGTATGATGCGATTAAACATTCTCTTTTTTTCTAGTTATGCAATAACACTGAAAATATATTTAAAGTATAGTAATATTGCCCCACGTGTTTTTTTTATATTATATGCCAATACAAAACTTCCCAGGTACATATTTGTATTTTGCAAACATGAAATTAATTGTTGTTTTCCCAAATTTTGATGAAATGATACATACTGAACAGATGATAAATGATATTATAACGTGATGTCTATAATTTAGATGGAAGAGTATTGATAGTAATGATAATACCACTTAAAAAAAAAAATATTGTTATTAATACTTTTTACCAATACAGTTTTTTGTGCAATATGGAAAGTTTTGTACTACTGGCAGTGAATTTATAATAAATAAAAAAATGTTAAACATCAGAATATTGTAAACTAGATATCATATCTGATTAACAAGTTAAAATACATCTACCCTGAGTTTCAATAGCTTTATTTAAAGAGAGGCATGTAAGAATTATAGTTCTTTTACGAAAAATAAAAATTAACATTGCCTCGTTACATTTTTCTCTTTTCCTTTTTCAGTGTATAAAAATATTCAAGGCATTCAACACTAACGTGTATATATATTTATATAGATATCACTTTTTTAGGTCACGATTTACATTGCACAGATAGTAATTGTCACCCCATATGACTTTCAGGTTCAGCTTTGTAATCTTGCATAGTAAGAATATAAGGCACAACACTAGCTACGCTTACCCTACCAATAAGACCTGCAAAAAACAAATCTTCCAAGACCCTAGGGTTAATTGAACGAAGCGGTGCGAGCCTCAAAAGGAGGCGAGGTAACCTGTCGGATCCCACACGTTGCTGTAATTCTGTCCATGCAGCTTCTTGTAAAACTTCAACTTTTTTGCGCCAAACACCGGCTAAGACATTGTCTACAAGAAATATCATGTTGAAAATGAATTGCTATTGTAAAGATAAATTATTCCTTACTCACCAGCACTAAAAAGCGTCAACGCTTTAAGGTACGCGTATTCAACAGAATCAACTTGTAATTTATGAAGTGAACTAACACAATCTTGTAGTCTACATATATGTTCTGTAACAGACTTTACTTTGCTAGCTGTAATTTTTTCCTGTGCAATACTAGCTTGCAGATGATTTATTATTGATGTTAGAATACTTGGAAGGGATAGAGTATATGCACATTGTGCAAGACCTAATGTAAAGAGCTGTCCCCAGGAACTGCGCACTAATGTTGTTTGAACTTCAGATCTGTAAATATAAATATAATTTTATTGAATGTTCGCGTTCATCATATAGCTTAATGGCCACACTATTTGTTTACGTACGGTAATGCTTGAAACGCAGGGATTCCTCGCGCCCAATGAACTGACAAAAAAAGTAACCTAGCGGCACTTTCACAAATATAATGTATTGACAAGTACGCAGGTGCTGGGCTAGGAGCTCTTAATTCAAATAATGTGTGTCTTTCAGAAATTAACTGTCCAGTCCACTCTTCTTCTGGCTCACTTGAACCATTAACACTCTGTAACAGAATCACATAAAAGTTTAATAATACTTTTATCACATGTAGTATGTATTCTATATATACATATACTTGTACAAAATAAAAGAAACATACATCTCCAATAAGTTTAGCCATGCTATCCAATGCATGTGAAATAAGTAAACGTTCCCTTGCTAATGTTAATGCATCACTGAGGTCACTATCACTACTTTGGTCTTCCATACTGGGACTTTCAGGTTGTTCCCAAGTTGAAGGAGTTTCAGACACTGGTTGTTGTGGTTCCGGTTTCACTCTAGTCACCTAATACTGGTTTTCTTTCATGTTGTACAGCTTTAATATGACAATATTATGTTAATAATTAAATGCAAATGTCACATTTGACATTTTAAATAAACTTACAGTCGCTTCTCATTCCCATTGCAAGGCATTTTTGAAGTCTACAATACTGACACCGATTTCTATGGTGTTTGGTAACTTCACAACTTTTACTTCCTCTGCATTGATAACCCAATTGTTTTCGAATACTACGTTTGAAAAAACCTTTACAACCTTCACAACTTATTGCTCCATAGTGTCTTCCACTAGCCCTATCCCCACAAACCACACATAACTCTAATGATAGTCCCAAACCTAAAGAACCACGAACATCTCTTGCTAATTTTACCTGAATAACATTAAAGCATACAACAAATGTATAATACACAATAAAAAGAGAAGTAGGAAGTAAATAGGTGGAAGTTTTACCTCTACATCAACATTATTTAAATGCTCAATTCCAGAGTGCAAGTGAACCATGCCTGCATGAGGTCCCAAATTACGAAAATCTCGTCCTAATTTGTGATCAACTTTATCATCGTGTACATTGTCAACATGATTATTTTGATCTCTTTCCATATCTCTCTAAAAATGCGTACAGAATAATACGATTAATAAGAAATGTTGCAAAAATAGCAATATTTTCATAAAAATTAACATATTGAAAACGTACCATAGCGGGATGGTGCGCTAGATTATGAAAATTTCTTCCTATATTTTGATCTACTTTATCATCGTGTAAATTCTCAACTCTATCATTTTGATCAACTTCCATGTCTTGCTGTAATAAAAATAAATATATTGTATCAATTATCAAGGAAAACTAAAAATTGTTTAATTACATTAAAAACAATTTTCGTTATGTTGTATAAACATTCGTAGAAAGTATGATAGGCACCTCCGATTTAACATCAGCTACATGATCTATGCCATGGTGACGAGTTAAATTACGAAAATCCATTCCCACTTTCCGTTCCTCGTTTTCATTTAAGTTATCGTGATCGTGTTGTTCCCTATGATCTCTGTCCATTTCTTTCTGTAAACATAACGGATAGGAATATTTTCGTAAAAATCTGGAATTACCAACACCAATGAGATTCGTATAACTCGCAAAAAATATTTCTGTGCTGATGTCATAATACGCATGTTAAGCATTTTCTAAACAATCGGTAACCACTTGTTGTTCAGTGAAATCAAGTACTTGAAGTAAAAACCTTGCTTAAATTTCATCATTCATATTTACAAATACAATGGAGGAAGGGATAGATTATTAATCTTTATTTATACACACTTATAGATCAATTTCTTTTCACGTTTGCCGATATTTATCTTTCAAGAAATTGCAATTATCCTACATTTATATTTAACAAAAAATTTACAGTTCATTTGAACGTGTATTTCACAATGGCCAGTTTGTGACGTAACTGACAGAATGCGTCTTTAAAAAATCCTTTTTTTTTTACGAGGATTATATAACGTACAGATATTAGCAGCATTACAGCGAGTAGGAATGGATAAATCGTGATCGTGTACAGTCCGATTTCATCTAGGTAGATAGAAGGTATCGTTTAAAGGCCTAAGCATCGGCGCGGCATAAAAATGAAAACTGGAGCATTTGCCGTCGCCCCTACCTGCCGCAACCCTTTCCCCCTACCATTTTAAGAAGTGAAAGAGATGGTCCCGAGTTCTTCGGTTCGTAGGTTGCTACGTGGTTAGGCGCATGCCGATACCATAGCCATGCTACACTGGCTGTCATAGAGCGAATGGTCCATTTCCATACACACTCGTGATCCGACTTCGTCACCACTGCCAGTGCAGTAACATGAGGAAACGGTGCCTGTACCGTTGCTCCCAAATAGTTAACATTCTTAGACCTTGGTGTTCGTTACACATCGTACCACGACGTACGCTCTCAACCTTTCTAATCATAATAATTTTACAACTTGGCAACCGTAGTTACTTTCGAACATACTGAAATATGCTTTTAAAAATTTTACATTTAGCATTGAATTTTTCAACGACCGTCGACGCGTGTACAACCACTATCTTTGTGATCAATAATACCACACATATCCGATTTCACGGAAGTGTCATGCATGAGATTCAACGTCATTCCATTTTGCGATCAAGAATTTCATGATAGTAACATGACACCTATCGTCTTTCTTTTTAACTCAAGCCATTGACCCGTTTAGACACGTGTCACCATAAACTATTAACAAATTTTATCGCGGTTACTTTTATCGTTTACTTTTCAAAGATCGTATCTTCGATGAAATTTGGTGCGTCACAATGGGACAGACCATCGAACAATAATTCGAAATATGTTGTAAACATACGAAAGATCAATTTCAGTTGAAAGTGTACCCAGAACTATGATTTTATGACAAATTTGTTGCTTAGATTATTTCATACATATATCGAAATGAACATCATTTGAAATATTTTAGGGAACGTGTTGCATTTCCTTTGCACCGACCTTAGAAAACACGCGACGTGTCTTACATTTAAGTTCGAGGACGGTACGCACAATACACTACCTGTTGGGTCGACCTGTATCACCGCATTTGCGTGTGTCGGCGGTGGCGCTCTCACAGGTCACGCACGGTTCTGAAAATATAACGTAGCTAGCCACGCGGTAATACGCGCGGTATATATTTGCGTCTATAGAAAACGACGTTTTAATGGAACCAACAACGAAGGTATACGATAAAACGACACATTTGTGGTACACGAAATCGTTTCACTTGATTCGAGCGGTCGCGCACAAAAACACCACGTCGAAGTTTAAAGGCAACCTTGCGCAGGTGAACGCAGCCAGGCCGTTCGCTGTACTGGCAGGTTGGCAGGTCACTCTCTTGTGTACCGCCAAGACACACCGGCCAGGTGCATTCTCGCCCCGCTTGCCTGCTTTTCTACCTGAGCGAGAGCATTCGCCGTGGAGGACCGCATAGTAGCCTCTCGACGAGCGTTACAGGTTATGTCACGTAATACACGCCCGCGATGACTTATCGGTTGAGGCTCGAGGTCGCGACGTCGATTGAGAATAGGTCAAACACGAACAGTTAATGACGAAAATGTACGTGCGCTATCAAATAGTCCTATATATCTTTGTTCTCAGGTACAAATGTTAGAAACATCATTCGCACGAACTACCTACCGTATGTGAAAATTTTTTTGTAACGAATCAATTTGAGAGACTAGTCATCTAAGATTTATATTAATTATTTAATTTTTCAGGAAAGATAGAGTACGTTATAACGTAAAATAAGTTACAAGTATAATTTGTAAAATTTATAAAAGTTAAAACATTTTTGTTAGATAAAAATTCAAATTTAAATTTTAAATATTTAAATGATCCAGCAAAAAGTTTCGAGTATGTGGAAAACTAAAATTTTAAATATTCCAAGAATAATCGAGAAATATCAACAAATTCTATAATATCTATAATTAGAACAATGCGAAATAAAATAAGAAAAATAATATTTCACAAACACGAAATAATGAATACTATTGAAAAATACAATTTTTTGAACGTGTTTTTATTTCAGCTTATATATGGTATATGTGTGTATTAAGTTTGTAATATTAAAATAGACACAAATTTCAACAAATCGCGAATAAGTACAATAATAATCTTATATAATTTTAATTGAAACGATATGACGTTTTAATTTATTATACGTCTTATTTTCGTCACTTAAATTGGTGTCTTTTAAATATATTACATTGGCTTATAACCTTTTGAATGGTCATTTCAAGTCAGCTTGAGATTTCTTGGAACAGCATCAGTGAAGAAGAATAGTCATTCGAGAGTAATTATTTCTATACGACCGGACTTCACAGGTAAAGGTCACTCGTGGGTCCGAAGGTTACCTCCTACCTACTTGATCATCGTATCGACACAGATTTATCTTGTAATCTTACTCGCTGTATGAAAATTGCATTACTAATAACACATCGTTCTTTTTCTCTTTGTTTATCATAATCAATTTCTTGATTATCACGTGCGTCATTCTTTGAAAGAATTTGCAGTGACGTCAACTCTTTTGTTCTTCAAGATAAAAAATAGTATAACTATTTTTCAACATTTTTTTTCTGTAACTTTTACACATTTCCGTTCTTGATCTTTACAATAACATTACGATAACAGGATTCTAAATACTCGTTTTTTATTTAAAGTATGTTTTACATGCGACATTGCAATTATTTACATGATGAATGCATAATATTTACAAGATGAATCATTTAAATACGAAGCAAGTAAAAAATCACCAACAAAGCGATGTTATTATCAACAGAGTTACAAGATTTCATGAAAATATCATGTGATCGCTACATTATCATTAAGTGCGAGTAGTGATTTATTTACTAACAACCTATTGGAAAGAAAGAATGCAAATATTTTGTACTATGTAATCTACTAAAGAGAACGTGCACAGATTGGTGCGATGTGGGCGAGCCAGTGTTCGAGATTTCATGCATCGTTATCGACGAAAGGGTAACAAAAAGCCAAGCACTTAGAAGTAAGTATGTAATTGTCGGGAGGACTTACCTTTATTATTAATAAAGACGACAGATTTGGCTACGCGTCATTTGGACAGTTCATAGCAACAACTAGACTTCGTCAACCATCTGTGGGTTAGAGTTCATAACCTCTTCTAACCTTTACCTTTTCTTTGCCTCTTTCCCCCCCGTGCCTAACCCCACCGCTCACCTTTATACCCACTCGACATTGCATCTGCTGCCATCGATACGCGGTTGCATACAGAACGACAATTTCAAATCTGTGTTGCAGAATTTGTACGTCGCGCCGGGTCCTCGGCAAGGTTGAGAACTGTTTGCAGGAAGTATCGCCATGATGGTAAAGGAAGTTGCCATACAATCATCGTTTACGTTTAAATTTCTTTATAATTTTACCTAGCGTAGTCACGTTAACTTGTAAGAAATATATTTACATTAATTTAAATTTTAGGTAGGTCATATCAATAACATGTTTAAAAATATCAACTATGAAATTAATTGTTAACTTAGGGGGGGGCTAATAATTTAACAGTAAAACGTTTCATGTATTGCAAAACGTTTTCTATTGCAAATTATTTTTCACATAATACATAAATTTATTATACAAGTATTAATAAAGCGTGTCATTTATATTGCCAATATGCATAGTAACATTATCATCTATATTACTACAATTTTATCATTGTGGTAATATCTATTTACCTATGTTTCAATGACTTTATTTTTATTCTTTTCCTTATCGGTATCAAATTTTCTATAAATACTTAGAAAGATTCACAGAAAGCCCTGTTTTCGTTATTACTCACCTAAAGAATTTAATTTAAACAAACTAAGTTTCTAATCAAGTTAGGTCCAATTAATATGAAAGACAATTTATTCTTACTTATAAAATTACTTGAAACCAATATATGTATCCCAATAAAACATAGAATTATACAATCATATATATTTAGAATTTTCTGCTTGCAACTTATAATACCAAATACTATTAATTATTTACATTAGCAAATAAGATTCATAATAAAATGTTGATATTGATAAAAATAGTAAAGTTGAAACTATTATTGGATTTTTAAGTCTTATAGAATTGTCTCAATAATACGATAATCATTATGTTCACTCTTAGTTACAATGCCAGGTACTTTTGTTTCTTATTTAATTTATTACTGTGAAGATCAAAGATAAGTGCGCTTGTAACTTTTGAAATTTTAGATGTAATTCAAATCATTAATTATCACATGTTATAAGTATCAAACAGCAAAAAATATTAATTAATTGCGTTAATAAGTGCATAACTATACATTTTACTTAGAAACCAATATAATTCAAGTGAATTTTATGATGCAAATGTATTTAGTAAAATTGATACGAGTGTAATAACAGTATCACATATCATTACATATGGTACATTATATAATTGTATGCATGAACACCTTCATTAATGTTTTAGTATCTTACAATTAGAATAGATTTAGTTGCAAAGATATTTTCATTTATAGGTACCATTATAAGTAATTTAAAACATTTTTTTTTCATGCCCTAAAATTTCACATACCTACTAACAATTAATTTATCTAGTGTATATGCAAACTATAAATCATAATAATGATACCCTTAAACAATATTATTTTTTACGTAACTCACACACACAGAATATTTGATTCCATATTTTTGGAAATATAATTTATAATTTTTCATATTTAACTGGCCACTACTTGTTATTATATTATTTATGTAATAGTACTTCCTTCTTACATATGTTTAAAATTCATTATATTCATGAGATGAAAGCAGAAGTGAATAAATTCAACTTATTTGCACAAATTATACAGGTAATTTTCTTACCTATTAAAATTGATCCTTATTGTTGTTGTTGTTTATGAATATTAACAAATCATAAGAGAAAGTACTGTCATTAGCAACTAAAAATTAATCTTATACTTTAACTTATGTAATTAATGCATATGCTGAAGGCCCAAAGCACCATAATAATTTTATACACAAATGTCAATCTTGATTGTTCTGTTAATTATCTCAGCAGGTACTGCAAGTTGATCACAAAGATTCTGCATATTCAGTTAAAGGCAGATATAAGTCATAATAGATCTAAAATTCTCCCTAAATGTCCTTAAAAATATTTAGCACATAGAATGTTCCAAAAGAAGTTTGCTCTTACCTATAAATTAAAATACTCAAAGTGAATATGATTATGCTAATTATAGATATTATTCATGTTAATTATATTCACATTTTTGTTTAAATAATTAAACTTACATTTAAACTAAAATGATACAATTAATGCCCAAATACTTCTTGGCTAGCAAATACTATATAAAGAAAACCATCTTCATCTTTTTCTCTCTGATAAAGTTGTGCCATTGTCATACTACCACTTGCCATACTTCTTTGGTTCACTAATAGAAAAAATGCCTGTGTTGGATGAAGTTGTAGCTTACGTCTGTTAATTATTAATAAATATTATCATCTATAAATTACACAGTAATTTATTCATATGATAAATACATGGTAAATAAATGATAGAAAATTAAGAAATATACCTAATTATTTTGATGAACTCTGCTACTGTTAAATAATCTGGCACCAAAAATTTGAATTTGTCCAAAACAGGTAATTGTTTTTCCCCATAATATCTTTCAACAATAATAGGTATTTTATTTGGATGCTGTTCTCTGATCAATTCTACATCAGCAACTCTTTGTGCTAAAGGTTGATAAAAATTGTTTAAACATTGTCAGTATTTGTAAATTTATAACATAAAGCACAAAATTATCTATGTTTTATAAAAAATAATATAACACTCTTAAATATATTTTTCAGTATTACATAATTTATAAAAAATGTATTTGTTACCAAACAAACATTATGTTTTTTGTTATTGTGTAAAGATATGCGTCTTAAATTATCAATAAAACAAAACTACACTGCACTGTAAAACAAGCAAAACATCGTAACGAAATACTTTGCAGTTTGTTTAGTTTTTGTCGCATTACTAAATATAGGAAAAACAGTAATTAATATAATAAAATTTATACTCACCAAATGAACGCTTTTCTTTAAATGATTTTGGTGTTAAATTCATCTTGGATACACTATCTGTTATTACGACGTATTCAATTCGATATCAGCTGTGAGCATACAAAAGTATTCTTGACGGGTCAAAATAACGCCTGCTTTGACTGTTGTAAGGTTAGGTTAGGTTTTGAAGACAATAATGATAACATATGTCCACGTTGCCGTGTGCTGCCCTCTTGAAATTGCACAGTGGTTTTTGCATTCGACCACTTCTTCCCTATTGTCTTGTCAGAAATGAATCTTTGCCATGAATTACACGATAGAAAGATAGTAGAATCGACTAATGGTTAATAGTTCAATATTTGTAACGCTATTGTAGAATATAAACTTCTCTTGCGTTAAAATGCATTTTTCTAAAATAGACAATCAAATAACAGGTACAATTTATTTTCCAATAAATTTATTTTGTGTAACGTTGTTGAGTTGTATGCCGCAAGAAAACCGAGAACTAACATGCAAGGGGCGTACGACTATCTAGAGGAACACTTCAGTCTATGCCCTACCCTTGGCTTCGAAACAGGAATACGTTTGGACATCTGTGCGTGCAGCAAGCACCAACCGTCTATGTAAGTGAGAGTGCATGCGTGATGTTGCAGCAGTCGTTTCTTTACGAATAGAGAAATAGTGCTCCCGCTTTGAGTGGTTCGTGAATCGGTGAGTGTAAGTTTCTCAGTGAAAAACCGTGCCGGAATTGAGTAAGAAATTAGTGTTATTAAATGCATCCTGAGAAGCGTGCCTACCGCTCGTTCGGAATTGAACGCTCAACTTGCTTGATACACGCACGCCAGACGTCGAAGAAAGGGGAAGGGGTAACAAAAACACCTGTATACTGAAATATATAGATAGACAAGAGTCACAGTAGAATGAGAGACAACCGCGTCTCGATGGTCGTGGAAATCACGATGGAAGGATCTCTACCACCGGAAGTGTCCTGCTACGTCGCGTAACCGCCGAACATTTGTGAAAATCTCTCTCTGTATCGTTGATTTTGCTGGTTCTCGGTAACCGAAACGTTAAGTACACGCAAGATCGTTCATCGGTCAGTTAGCCTGGTCGTTCGTCCGCTTGCCTGGTCGTCTACCCCTTCTAAACCGTCCTGACACAACGTTTAACGGGGGTATAAAAAGAATAAACACAGTGGCGGCGTGAGAGAGACCGATAGGGGGAGCAAGAGGAGAAAGAAGGAGAAAGAGAGAGAGAGAGAGAGAGAGAGAAGTCAACCAGCCAGCCAGTCAGCCAGCCAGCCAGCCAGTCAGTGTGCCAGAAGCGAGGAACTTCGTTTCGTGCTTTGTTCCAATGAAAAAGAATACTTCGTTCCTGAACATCCACCCATTTTTTGCATTTATCCGCTTTTACGAGGGGGCGAACCGACGAGAGCAATAACTTTTCACGATTAATGCCGGGAGGACGTTTCGCTTGTAAACAGTTATCAAGGTGCGGCCACGTTCATCGTGTTCGCGGTGTTTGCTTCGATTTTCATGCGTGCGGAGTCTACGACCGAGCGTGCGAGAAATTCAGTGTATCGTCCGGCAACACGTTGGCTCGATTTTGGCTTTCAGTGTCTCCGTAGGGGTGACACGATATGTCGCTGTTGGGGCAATTTCGTACATTTCGATGCCGAATGCTGATTACTACGACCGTTCGTGATTTCGCGAGGAAATCTCTTTCGAATTAATAGAATGTGAACGATTTAACCGATGAAGCAGGGGGAACACGCTGCCGATGCAATTCTCCACGCATGTAAATAGAATACGTTCACCTCCAACTAGATGAATAATTACCCGAGAAGACTTGTGAGAAGTTCTTTTTCGTTTCTAATTGAAAATCTTGTCACGTAATCACGTAAGGCGCGTGTTATGCCTCTTTCATAAAAATCTTCGGATTGATCGTTAAAAAGGAAGAACTTACTGCAACAATTCTACGGAAGGGAAAAGAAGTTCCGTGTGGATGAAACTGGTTGGAACAGGCGTTTTACGACGATCCTACGAATCTTTCATCGATTATCCAACGGCTATTCGACGAGGATACATTCGAGAACGAGCACTTTTGGATCTTCTTTGCGACAGATCGTTCGATTCGTATCATATGGGTGATTTGGTCGGTGATTATTATGCTTGAAGAAAAGTGAATCTCATTTAGAGCGGAATATCCGTTGAACGAAGAATGACGTCGTAATTTCGACAAGGGTTAACGTCCATTCTCTTCGGATTTATCGGTCTCGAGAATACGAAAACGGTTCAATGGAGCGAAGTAGTCCGAGTTGGCCGGCCCGGTGCCAATAACCTCCAGTCAGAGGAGGCTAGACACCATTTTCGCACGATGCGTTTGCCCTCGTGCGCGATAGATTATAAAATTAGACGTTCGAAACTTCGTGCGAAGGTAAAAGGAGCAGCGCGTCGTTTCCATGCGGTAAAGAAGGTGGAGACACTGACTGGTGGTAACTAGCGAAGGGTCAAACGAGACGAAGGGAATTAATGCAAGTTGGATTAATAATACCGAGGTGGGTAGACAGCTGTGTGTAGTCGGAAGTGACGTCAGACGCGGTGGGTTTATAGTTCCTCTTATTTTTCTCGTTCGAAGTCGTGTACACAGGGGGCCGCGTGTGCGAAAGGTAGAGAGTGACGAGGAAAGCGGCGAGAAAGAAACAGAAAACCACGCGGATTTTCGATGAACCGATCGTCGTCACTGATTATTCGCTCGTTCAGCGAAAAACGAACAACGCAAAAGAAAAAAGAAAAATTGCGAAACGATCAGAATCATCGTCACAATTTCTAGTCCGCTGCATTTATACACCGAGAGTCGTCGTTTTTTTTCTTCTTTTCCTCGACGAATAAATATTTTTAGACGATCGATTGTATTTCAAGCTGCACGTGCGACCGCTTCGTCGCCATCGTGGATCGAGACGCGTTCGATGCGCCTTCTAACCAGCTAACGATGCACATTTATCGAGCGTGCATCGCGGCCCGTTCGTACCGTTCGCCCTAGGAGACTTAATAATTTCAAGGTTCACTAAATAGCCATCGTACGGAAGAGACGAGATATAGAAACGGAGGAAGAAGGAAGGAAAAAGATAAAAAATAAAAAAAGGGGGAAGGCATTTTCGCTCATATTTCACTTCTCTCAGAGACACACCGAGAACAAGAACGAGACTGAAATTCAAATCGCGTTAATCCTTTAGTCGATTAATTTATTTGAAGCGAAAAAAAGAAAAAAGAAAAAAAAAAGAGACAAAGATAACGATGTCGCGAAGAATAGTTGCGAGATCGACAGATCGACCAAATTTACTCCTATATTATATACACACATATATATACAATAAACTGGCGTAGATCTGCGAATTCTGCGAGTGATAGAGAGATTTGAACGTAAAGCGAGCAATAAACGATTGCGTTTAACTAGCGTATTTAATATCTCAACGAACCAATATGTTTTTTTATCCAAACGACAATACATTGTGACACGTTGAAGCATTAACGATAATCACCAGGGAGATATTAGAGACAAGAAGAAAAAGAAAAAAGGGCGGTGTTCGCGATCGATGATCTCATCGTACTGGATCATCGTACCGGTACGAGTGATCGTTCAATGGTTGCTTCTTTCGATTCTCTTGGTACTCGATCGTTTGGCCTCACTGGCGAGAAACACACGTATCCAAATAATCGTCAAATGGACACAAATGACTAGCTTAACGTTATCTGGTAGCACGTGTGAGATGCACCGGTCTAGAGCAAAAGGGTTCGTACCTACGAGCGCGATCTCGGCGCAAACGTACACCCCAACGAGCGAGAACAATCATCTGCCGCCCCTGAAGGGTAGCACGTTGGCCCTGAAGCAGTCAGCTAGTGAATCGTCGTCCGGTTACTTGACACGATTCGCTCACATGGCCGGTACTCATCTACCGAGCTTAAGCTCCAGCTCTAACAACAGCCTTCTCAGCTTGACAGGGAACAGCGATAGTTTGAACTTGAGCCTGAGTTCACATACCAGCCACAACTCCAGTCATAACTTCGGTGGTCACACCACTGCTGCTGCTGCTGCTTCTGCTGCTGCTCCTCCTCCTCCACCCTCATTAGACACACACCACGCTCAGTCGAACAGTCAAACGAGCACAGCACTGGTGAAGAATGGATGCTCGAACGGAAGTTCCTGTGGCAGTAGTACACGTAAACCGACCGTCATCGCTACACGTAAACCGAACCCTAATCGTAAAACAAAGAACATCGCGACACCTGAGTTCGTTTATAAGATCTACCTGGAGAAGTTGACCCCTTACGAGGTACAGGAGATCCTGTGTTACCGACAGATATACTTCATCGGTGCGAACGCGAAGAAAATGCCAGGTATGATTGGCTGTGCTAATAACAACAACGGCTACGACAACGAACATGGTTCCTACATCCACGTGATGCACGATCACGTGGCCTACAGGTACGAGATGTTGAAGGTGATAGGTAAAGGATCGTTCGGTCAGGTGGTGAAGGCGTACGATCATAAGAAGCAGGAGCATTGTGCCTTGAAGATAGTGAGAAACGAGAAGAGGTTTTACCGTCAGGCGGAGGAAGAGGTGAAGATATTGAGCGAGTTGAGGAGACAGGACGAGGACGACACGATGAATATCATTCACATGTTCGACGCGTTCAGGTTCCGTAACCACATGTGCATCACCTTCGAGTTACTCAGTATTAACCTGTACGAGCTGATCAAGAAGAACAAGTTCCAGGGCTTTAGTTTGCAGCTGGTGAAGAAGTTCGCGCACTCGCTGCTACAGTGTCTTCATGCTCTGTACAAGAACAGGATCATTCATTGCGACTTGAAGCCGGAGAATGTTCTTTTGAAGCAACCGGGACGCAGCGGTATCAAGGTGAGCACATGTTGTACATTCTTTCTTCTGTGTTTTCAGCAGAATATCATACTTTGCACGTATGCAAAATTCTGCTGTGCAAAGATGACGGCGTACGATGATACGAAACTTATCATTATTCATAGATGTTTAACACGTTCGATGCTACTGACGCGTACGTTGCACGGATGCAATTGTTTGAGAAGCGCTGCTGACACAGCTGTTGCGTTTTTATTTTTATTTCAGTATTTGCCGTCACGTCGCGCGGTATTTTAGTTAAACAGCTGGGTAAAATTCAGATTTTTTTCACCTCATTGAAAATTAAAAAAGGGTTTGTTTGCTTGTAACGTGGTTGAAGTGAAGTATCGCAACGACTATTTTTGTTACGTCTGAATTTAGACAGGAGAAGAAGGGGGTCGTATGGAAAGGATTTCTGTTCGTAAAACATAATCGTTGTGGTTTTTAATTTTCTCTGAGCAAAATCAAAGACGAGGGTTAGTTGATTTGACCATTTTGCGAGGGTTAATTTTCACCGAACATATTTCGTCAAAATTATCTATTATTTCGAATTTCTGAAATTTGTCGTTGGAAAATATCAAATTCGTCAATTTACACTTTTCCTCTGTCTTCGATAGCTCTCGAGATCGATAGCTCCAAGTTCTAGGACGATTTTCACCCCTTTACTGTGGCTGATTTTCAATATGAAAAAATACGCGACGAATATTTTTTCGAGAACTACTATGTACCAAAGTTTCATCGAAATCGAAGATTATCACCTCGGAATAATCCGTTGAAAATTGAAAATATTCACCTCTTCGCTATAAATATTAGGTGTACAAATGAATTCGTGGCCCTTGCGATTAAATCAGCTGTAACTTTACTTTGAATTCAATCTTTTTCCCCGCTGTGTTAGAGCTCTGAAGTTGCTTCTATTAGCAAAGCAAAACACTATCGGCCTCGATGTGACTAATGACATAACTTAAGATACAGTGGAGGACACTATGTCATCCTTTTCGCATTTCAACTTAAAAAAAGTGCTCTTGAAGCGAAAGGTCTTTGGGGTGGGATATTCTGCCTCGTGCGGATTATTCCCCAGACTTAGCTCCATCAGACTATTATCTCTTTACCGATTCAAAATTCAAGACATACGAAGATGTCAATAGTAGCATTGCTGATTTTATACGTTCGAAACTGCCACCATTTGCCTGAGAAACGGAATAAATGTATAGCAAGTGATGGAGATTATTTCCAAGACTGAACTGTACTTTGTTTTTTTTTTTTTTTTTTTTTTTTTAAATAATGAATCCAGGTAACGAAGGCCACGAATTAATCTCTACACTTAATAATTGCCAATATAAAAAAATACGTATCGAATATTTCTCCCAAAACTACCATACACCAAAGTTTCATCAAAATCGGTGATTATCACTTGATAGTGTTCCCTAGTTAAACTCGCAAGAAAAATTTCGCAAGAAAATTTGCTCAAAGACGTCATCGTTACATTAACATTCGTAGCAACTCATGTCTCTATTCTCCTTATTAAAATCCAGCACGCGTATCGATTACTCGTCTACTCTACAAGCCAAGCGTCGTTGTCGAAACTTGGGTTCACAAGAAAACCGGGGCGTTGTTGCGTCGATATTTTCGATCGTTTCCCTTCGCGTCTCTCAATTTGGGGAAGGTAAACAACCGCTTCTCGTGCCAGTATCCAATACGTCGTGCCACGGGTAGATTTTTTCGCTCTCAGCCACGGCGAGATTAACCGGCGCGGCTCCTCTCGACAGACAGGGAACACAAGCTCGTCGTTACCGTGAATACCGGGGCAGGCATAAACGGAATAAGCGCGACAAGGTGGCTCGCGTGCTCACGATACCTACTCTCTCCGTATGTAACATGCGCCGTACACGCGTGTTTCGCGTATCCCACGTGAGAGCACACGGATTTCGTGTGTCGCGACGCGCACACATCGCCGACACCACGCGACAATCCTCGAAGATTAGCGTATTGACAAATGCAATCGTACGCGTCAGTGGTTCTTAACCCTTTTCCGAAGAAACGAGACACTACTTTTGTTTGTTTATTTTTTACGGAAAGATTTCCCATTAGATTGCACAAGAATAGGCGAACACTACCAAGAAGTACAAACGGACGCAAATTGAAAAATTTCAAAGTTTTGTGTGCCGGTTCGCAGTTTCACAAATTCGGTGTACGTATAGGGTTCGCGTTCGAAAAGTTTGATGAAAGTATCTTTGAGGTGAGAAAGGTTGAGCAGGTCTGAGCGGTCTAATTGGTGTATGAAAATTGATTGATCGCAATAGGTGTGTACAGGGAATGGTACCATTGATAGTCTTAAAAAGAAAGAAAATACCGGAAAATATATGGGTTTCGAGAGATTTTAGGTTTAGCCTATTCAAAATATGGAAACAATTATGGTGAATGACTCAAGCAAGCGTTTGTGTTTAACACAGTAAGGAGCCCAAATAATCACTTTCGATTAGAAGGAAAATTTGCGGAACACCAGAATCACTAAGGTCGTCGAAGTAACGAACTAATGCAAGTTGCACCCGCTTTTCTAGCTGGCACGCAGCAATTTCATAATTTTTACGAAACACTCGTGTTGGATAACCAACCGCCTATTGACACTGAGTCACCAAGTCACTCTCAAGCTAAACCCCATAACGCTGAAAAACAAGATACTCATCGACCGCTGACTGTCCCTTCATAGTTCTGTCCAGCAATTCGTCACCAGAACCAAGTTCATCTTCTCCCTCTTAATCCTTTCCTTAAAAGTACACCCGAAAGATCCCTTCCTAATCATTATAGAAACCAAGCGAGGATAGTTAAGAGCGGTCGATCTAGTACACAGCAGAAAACCACAACGTCTTTTCTCTTCGTGAAGTTCGCGCCTTGTAAATTCGGAATCCGCGAGTATAAGTGTCATCGTTAAAATAAAAGTTATATTGTTAAAATATAATCGATATCAACTTTCCTCCCTGGATTCTAGCACTTGTAACACGTTCGCGGAATACCAGTGTTAACCCTGGTACGGTCTTCGGGTCATTTTTGACCCGTCGCCTTTTTACGTTTCTACTAACTTCTGCTGTTATCAAGCTTACGTTCCCTTCACGTAATACTAACCCCTTGAACTGCAATTTATTTTCAGGCAGCACTGCTCAGGCAGACAGTTTAATTTTCTTAGTTTTAAGAGGCGGGACTGATATAGAAACTTACGGTTTTGCTGCTCAAATAATTTGTGATTAGTAAACATAATGTTTGTTTCATAATTTACATGAAATTCTTCAATAATGTTTAACGAAAATATAACAGTTCTAGTATTTGAACGAAAAAAGTACGTGTTTCAATATAATGCTAATGTATTTGCAACAATTTCAAACAATGTAAATATATATATTTATCCTCATTTATATTGGGGTTTATTTAAAAATAAAGCGGTACCGTTTTATGGCCGTTTTATGACTTTTATAAACGGATATCACTAGTAAAATAACCGCCATTGCACTTCATTAGTATGTCGTGTCGTGCATTTACTTCACGCGATATTGGCTGCATAGATTTATACAAATTACATTCAAACTGTTACTAGAAGCAAGCAAACAAATGTATCAAAGCAAAAGACTCGCTACGATTTACATATACTTCTCACGTAAAAAGCTTCAACTCTGAATAATTTCTGACGAGTGCAGCTCGTCATTGTCAGTTTGCTCAAGAAAGTTCACGACGAGCTGGACTCGTCGTTTCAGTTCAAGGGGTTAACACCTTATCGACGAGGCCATTGCGTTGATTACTTACACCTAATACAGGGGCAAGTGAGAATGCACAAAAATGTCCCATAAAATCGTTCTTTTAATAGAAAGACTGATAAATTACCAAACTCGTAACTATTGCAACGTAAAAAACAAAAGTTTATTTACATTCGTAAAAAACACACAATAGAAATAATAAAGAAATAACACGTATTGATTAAATTTAACAGCGTAACAACGCTTGATATTCACTTCACGCGTTACTTCGTCATCCGTGACAGGTGACAATTGGGTCAGAAATGACCCGAAGACTTGAAGCGTACAGTTGAACGAAAGAAGACGCCAGTGGTTTAAGAACCACTGGTCTCTATAAAGACGTCTATAAACACGTTGTAAACGTATAAAGAGACATACGAGTTGTCCTTGTCCTTTGCAATAAAGTCCATGCGCTGTGCACGTCCAAGTAGCCCCAGCGTCGCATTATCTCACCGTATGGTTCTAGTCTATAGAATTTGCACGCAATATCGCGAACTTTCCGGTCGCACGGCCGCTTTCTTCGCGACCTTGCTAAGGCCGGCCTCTATTAAAGCTGTACACACTTTGCTTTTTTTGCCTTAACATCGGCTCGAATTCGCCCCGAATTATTAACAACGCGATAACCAAGCCGCAACTGGGGGTTAAAAATAGTTCCGCTCCTTGGAGCGTTCGATGATTGAACAGACACACAGTGGATGAATGTGTGCGCGCGCGAATGAAAAGAAAGTTTGTTGTGCAGAGAGTGTCAGGCAATTCCCTGGTCTCTCCTTAAAGGTGTTGGTTCGAGAGGAAAATTGAAGGGGAAAAGTCCTATAAATGTGACGTCGAGAAGGAATACTTAATGAGATACGCGCGTCTTCGAAGATTAGGTGTCGGGTTCCTTTGTGTTGGGATGCTTATTGAATGTGAAGCAAAGTGAAGTTAGACGTTGAAAGATTATCCAGATATGTGTTAGATATTGTTCATATCGAATTTATAAATGTTATTAATAATATTGTGCGATGTTAACACTGGAACGACCGGTCGGGTGAAAAATCACCCATTAGCGAGTTTCCGAAAGTGATTTTTTACAGAAATTGAAGTATGCGTGCAGAAGGTAAGTTGGAAAGTTACAAACGATAATATTTTTTTGTCGAAAGTCGCTTATGGGTCATTTTTGACCCGGCCAGTCGTTCTTCTAGTGTGAAGATTCTATAAAAAATTATTGAATTGAGAATCTCG